ACAAGGTGATCAAGGTTAGGGCCCTGCAGCCCAAGCCCATGGTCCCAAGTTTGAGTCCTCCCCCAGGAAGGCTGGAGGCTTGAGGATCACAGACGGTCCCTTTTCTAAGTTATTGATCTCCCATGTGCCCTCATGACCATCTGCTCCCCAGACTCCAAGAAGTGGGGGTGGGCGGCATCTGTGCCCACCCTGGGAAGTGCCTAACCGTTTTTGTTTTGTTTTTGAAGAAAAGAGAAATACTCTCCTCCACTCTGTCTTGGCAGGGCAGGTGACATATTGCAGGTCCCCTGCTCTGAGTAACTGTCACCCTTGTCCCCCTGCCTCAGACAGGGCCTGGCCTGTGGCAGAGCCTTTGGGGGCATTGAGCCCCTGAGATCCACTTCCCAATGGCCTGGCCAGGAGAGGCCCTGGAGACCCTGAGGGGCTGTGTGGAGCTGGGCAGCTGGAGGGACCATCCTTGTGGCTCAGTGAGGCCTTTTTCTTCCTTTTTGGGGACGATTGAGAATGGGTGCACAGAGGCCTCTTCCACGTTTTCTCAGGTCCGTCCCCAGACACGGGCGGTGGCCTCACCCATGTGCTAGATCGCGGCCCAGCTGCTGCACTGCTGCCCGGGGCTTCCCAAGCCCGAGAGCCAGCATCCAGAAGGTGGTGGCCATGGCCAGAGAGGACACAGGTGGCCCCCCTGCTGCTCATATACACTACAGTGTCTGTCTGTCTGTCCGTCAGTCAGTCAGATTTCTTTACTTTTGCACGTGCATTCTGGGCTTGGATATCCGGCCATGCCTTTGTCCTGCCTGCCACACTGGACTCCAAGCCCCAGAGTGTCCACTCAGACACACGCCAGTCTGGGCAGTTGGTCACATTGCTGTCCCAGGCAGAAGGGAACAAGAGAGCAGTGGACATAACAGAGCCCCAGGGTATGGACAGGTGGCTGTGACAAGCACTCACATTCCTGGCCTCTGGCCCATGGATTCCTCACCTTCCCACACCCGGCTCCTCTTCTGTCTCCAGCTGAGGGTCCAATCTCGTGCCATCCCAACACGATGGGGCTACGTGGATGACAGGGTCATCCTCGTCACCCAGAGCCAAACAGCCATTGTGGCCACCCACCCTTGGGAGGTCCGGGTCCTCAAAGAGTGGGCATCTGCCACACAAGAGGAGGCCCTGGAGCTGTATAGGTATCCAAGGTCTGGGCCACCCCAAGCCGGCAAAGTGTTAGCCCCTTTCAGGCAGCGTTCCAAGTGTGCCAGGCCACAGTGGCCACAGCCAAAGCCCTGGGGCAATACCCAGCTCACCCAAGTGGTGGGTGGCAGGTTCTGCCCAGGGGATCCATGCTAGGGCCCTTGGGGCTGTGCCACACAGTTCACAATGGGGACCCAGCCTCCCCTCACCAAGGGATAGCCCGACCGCAGGGAACACACTGGCTTCTTTGTGTCTGCCTCGGCGCACGGGAGTCCATCCACCGCCTGGCGAGGGAGCCCAGGCCTAGCCCTCAGTGGCTGCTGAGCCCCTTGTATATTAGTACACAGTCCTCATTTCAGCCTATTTAAGAGAACACTCAAAACACTGTTTTTAACCCTCGTCCTTTGCGAAGCATGTTCCTTGTGTCGGTGGGGGGAGGCTTGGGTACCTGGCTCGGTGCCAGGCTCCTGCAGGCCCTTGGCCACAAGGCATGGATGCCAGGGTGTGAGCTGTAGGTCGGGGCCTTGACCCCTTACCCAGAGGGTCTCGCTGAAGCCACCTTTTCATATCTTTCTCTTGAATTCTGTTTTGAATCGGAATAAACTTTGTTCCTAAACTCTGGCTCCTTGGGGATTATTGTTAAAGGTGGGGGGAGGGGCCCAGCAAGCCTATCTGCACCTGTGGGCGCCATCCAAGCCTCACCTTCACTGTAGGGTGTGGGTGTCACCCAAGCCTCACCTTCACCATAGGGTGTGTCATTTCCACACACCTACACACACACTGCTTCCCTGGAGAGGGCTGAGTGGCAACAGAAAGGACCTGATGGGAGAGCCACTGCCAGGACCTCACCACAAAGGGAAGTTGGTCCCCAGCCTCTGCTTCAGGATATTGGGCCATCAATTTTCTATCCTTTGCTGCCACCTTATTTATTTATTTATTTATTTATTTATTTATTTATTTATTTATAGATGGTTTTTCTTTGTAGCTCTAGGTCTTCTTGAACTTCCTCTTTGACCAGGCTGGCCTGGAACTCACAGAGATCTGCCTGCCTCTGCCTCCCAAGTGCTGGGATCAAAGGCCTGCGCCACCACTGCCCAGACGTTTGCTTATCTCGGGAGATGGCTGAGTGGGTAGGGTGTTGCCATCCAAACAGGATCTGAGTTCAATCCTGTCCTGCCACACTGGGCCCAGCATCTGTGGCCTCAGTGTGGCAGATGTGGGGACAAGCAGATCCTGGAGCTTACTGGCAGCCAGTCTGTGAGCTGATGCTGTTCAGTGTGTCTAAAAACCAAGGTGGCCTCCACAGGCATTGGGAACACAAAGTTTAATATGTGTGTTTAGTGGCGTGAAGCTCATCTGTGCTGCTATGCAACTGTCCCCAGTACCCACTTCCAGAACATTCCATCTCCTTGCACTAAGTTCTGTCCCCATTCAGCACTCATGTCCAGCCCCTGGCATCCACCTCTTGTCTCTGTGGATCTAAGGACTCAATGGCTTCCTGGATGTGGGGACCTGTGGCCTGTGGTGTCACTGAGGCCTGTGACCTCCAGGACCACCCATGATGGAGCAGAGTTTTACAGGACTTCCATCTGCTGGGTGGATTGTGTTATGTGTCTCTTCATCATCCTGATGACTTCCAGTTTTGGCAGCTGTGTATCTGGCTAACAGGCAACTGGATATGGGAAAGTGTACTTAGCCTTTGGCTGTCAGTTCCCTGGCTGTTTCCCATGGTGGCACATATCAGGGCTCCAGCAGCTGTGCAAGAGGGTCCCAGGCTCTTGTCACCCACTCAGACGACCTCAGGGTCCCGTTTACCCAGTGGGGCAGTTCCAATTACAGCACAGCTTTCACTGGGGGTTGGGGGTGGGTCAGGTAAGATGTGAGATGGCTCCCTACACCAGTCATTCAGAAAAGTGTTTCCTTTTCCCTTATTAGAGTGTCCCAGTGCTGTGATCAGAAGGCTAGTTGGGGAGGGAAGGGTTTATTCGGCTTACACTTCCACATCACAGTTCATCACTGAAGGAAGTCAGAACAGGAACTCAAACAGGTCAGGAACCTGGAGGCAGGAGCTGATGTAGAGGCCATGGAGGGTGCTGCTTACTGACTTGCTTCTCGTGGCTTGCTCACCTGCTTTTTTATAGAACCCAGGACCAGCAGCCCAGGGATGGCACCACACACCTCCCCCATTGATCACAGAATGAGAAAATGCCTTACAGTTGGATCTCATAGAGGCATTTCCTCCACTGAGGCTTCTTCCTCTGATAACTCTAGCTTGTGTCAAGTTGGTATGAAACTACATAGGACACGGGTGGAGGTCAAAGGACAACTTGCAAGAGTGGGTTCTATCTCTACCTGTAGGTTCTTGGGACTGAGCTAATGTCACCAGGTTTGGTGGTAATCTCCTTTGTCAGCTGAACCCTCTTGCTGGCCCCAGGAAGGATTTTTCTGTGGAAGGTGGCTGTAGGGGTTTCTATGAGAAAGGCCTCTGTGGCCTCAGGTCCCTGGTCAGTGCTACTCAGGGAGGGGATGGCTTTAGCAGAGACGGCTTGGGAGTGGGGGTGATGTGGGGGGAGGGGGTTTGCTCTGTTTTCCTAGTGTGTGATGAATGTGACCAGCCAGCTTTGTGCTCTAGTCACCTGCTACCCTGTCACCTCTACCACAATAGACTCTAACTCTCTGGAACTGTAAGCCAAACAAAATACATTTTTGCCCATAAATTGCTTTTGGTCTCAGTATTTATCTCAGCAACAGAAAAGTCAAGATGTTGTGTGGTAGATGAGTGGATTCTGGGAGGCAAAAGAGCTACTCTGTTACAAAAGAAAAGTGGTCCCAGAGAGGACAGGACTGTGCAAAACCTCCAGGGTGAGGGACACCGTGTGCAAAGGCGCTGGGCCTGGGGAAGCAGCATGCAAAGACCCCGGGGCAGGTGGGCCCGGGGACTGTATGGAGTCTGCCATGCTAGAGCATGGAGGAGGCAGGCCTGTGTGGCTGTTGCGAGGCCACGGGCCTGAGGGTCAGAGCCAGGTGGAGACCAGATGAGGGTGGGTAAGACTGGAAGAGGTGAAGACTGAAAGCTTGACTGCTCGTCCAGCTCCGCGGCGCAGGTGCCTGTCATTCCGCTAGCGTCCAGCAGGTGTCGCCAGACGTCGTCCGCAGCTGCAACCAGGCTGCAGTGGCTGGGTGGTTGAGCGGAGGGGGGGGGTCCTGAGCGCGAGTGCAGCCGCGTGGCCGGATGCCGTCCAGGGACAACGTGAGGAGGTCAGGACGTCTGCTCAGCATCAGCCATACGGTCGGTCAGGGGTGGAGGGAGCGGTCGTGAGCACTGGCTCTGCTTCCAGGAGACAGGGGTTCAATGCCAGCACCCACGCCTGTGACTCCCGTTCCAGGGAACCCTAACCCTTTTCTGGTCTCTGAGGTCACCGACGCACATGCCAGCGAAGTGTCCACGCACACCAAGGAGATAGATCAATTTTTGTTTCTTTTGTTTTTCGTGACAGGGCTTCTCTGTGTAGTCTTGGCTGCCTGGAACTCGCTCTGTAGACCAGGGTGGCCTCAAATTCACCTCTGCCTCCCAAGTGCTGGCCACCACCGCCCGGCGTTGTTTGTTTGTTTGTTTGTTTGTTTGTTTGTTTGTTTGGAAGAAAAAAATGTCAAACGGGCAAGAGAGCTCAGAGTGTAAAGGAGCTTTCAGCCAAGCCTGACCACCTGAGTCTGATCCTTGGAACCCAGGTGCTGGAAGTGGAGAAGTGGCTGTCACAGGTGTCCTGGGACCTCCACACCTGTGTCCTGGCATATTCAACCATACACAGTAAATACACAAATGTGATTTTAAAATTTAAGAAGAAAGCCTATTACATCAGAAACAAACAAAGATAAGGTTCCTGTTTGTGGTTGAATACCATGTTTCCACAGAGGTACAGAGACTTGAGTAGAGTTTGTCAGGGTACTGACAAAACAAGACCACAAAGTTGAGAGAGGGGCTCACTGTGTAGCAGAGGCTGGCCCAGAAGTCACAGGCTCCACCTGCCGGAACCCAGGCAGAGGGGTGATGGTGGGAGGCACAGAAGGTATCAGAGTGAGGCTTCAGTCCCCACCTTGAGTTCTGAGGACCTGGTGTGTGGTCCCCAAAGGGCCAGGCAGAGTGCTCTCTCTGGTTTTTGCAAGACCAGGCTGGTTCTGATTCCCCCTGGGTTCCCCCATCAGTGGGCGGGACAGCTCCCTGTGGCCTCTGTGACCCTGCCTGGCCCCTATCACACTTCCCATCTGCTGCAGTTTAAATCAACAGTCAACTGAAGTCAGCCAGCATGGGGCAGGCGTGGGCCTGTCAACGGCCTGCAGGGGGTGGGAGGGAAAGGCTGTGTGTTCTGGGGGTGTCGCACACCCTCTCTGAGCCTCACCAATGCTTCATTAATGGCAGGGCAAGGAGCTACATGGCTGCTCTGTTATGGGGGAGGGGGCAGACATATCTGAGCCAGAACGGTCTGGAACTTTCAGTTTCAGGAGTCTGGGGTCTGGGGGGCCTCCCAAAGTCCGTCAGTGTCACTTTCACTGGGGCCCTCTCCTGACCCCTCCCTATTTAAAGCCATCTCCAACCCTTAAATGTCTCTGCTTTACTTTTGCTTAAAATTTGTCCCCATCTGTGGCACCCTGAGAGTTTCATTAATTTGTTTGGTTTTGGTTTAGGTGGAAAGGCAGACAGCAACCTGCAGAAAGGATTCTCCCCTCCCATGGCATGAGCCCCAGGGAAGACACACACAGTTCAGGCTGTCACCTCCAAGTTTACAAAAATGTTCTGTTTTGTCCCACGTGGAGCAAAATGAAAACCTTCTTGGTATACAGTAGGCGCTACATACATGCCAGCATCCGTCCCTCTCTCACTCATAAGGGGCCAGGCATCTCCCCTCTATCCTGGGGCACTGCCTTTAACTCTGTGCCTCAGTTTCCTCACTATCAAATCGGCGTGTGTGTGTGTGTGTGTGTGTGTGTGTGTGTGTGTGTGTGTATGTGTGGTGTGTGTATGTGTCTGTGGCTGTGTGTATGTGTGTGGTTGTGTGTGGTGTGTGTGTGTGTGTGTGGTGTGTGTATGTGTCTGTGGCTGTGTGTATGTGTGTGGTTGTGTGTGGTGTGTGTGTGTGTGTGTGTGTGTATTGTGGTGTGTGTGTGTATGTGTGGTGTGTGTATGTGTCTGTGGCTGTGTGTATGTGTGTGGTTGTGTGTGGTGTGTGTGTGTGTGTGTGTGTGTATGTGTGGTGTGTGTATGTGTCTGTGGCTGTGTGTATGTGTGTGGTTGTGTGTGGTGTGTGTGTGTGTGTGTGTGTGTATGTGTGGTGTGTGTATGTGTGTGTGTATGTGTATGTGTATGTGTGGTGTGTGGTTGTGTGTGTGTGTGTGTGGTTGTGTGTGGTTGTGTGTGTGTATGTGTATGTGTGGTATGTGGTTGTGTGTATGTGTGTGTGTGTGTATGTGTGGTGTGTGGTTGTGTGTGTGTGTGTGTGTGTGTGTGTGTTTATACCCAAGTGCGCGCTCAAGGAGGGAAGGGGCCTGCAGCCCACACAAACGCAGAAGTAGACTTCCCTCCTCCTCAGCGGTTCTGAAATCGGCCTGAGCAGTAGCTGTGCCCACTGGCTGCTTCGGGGCCAGCTTAGGCCAGCAGCGTCAGAGGCGGCGGGTGGGGGGGGCACCCTCCTTGGGAAGGAGGAAGGAGGTCTGGGCTCTGCGGGCGGCGGCCACCCCTCCCTCCCCATCCGCTGGAGCCTCTGCCACTGCCACCGACCTGTCGGGCGGGCAGGGCCAGGTCTGGGCAAGTTGGAGGGGGCGGGAGCCAGCACCCAGGTCCCCGCCCTGCTCCTGGCACCCAGGCCTCTCGCAGGCCTTGCCTGGGCTCCCTCAGGCCCTAGGCAGGAACATCGGGGGCCCTGGAGTGACCCCCACGTCCATTACACCCGCTGGGGCTGTGCGGGCCCAGAGGGGCGATGTCACCTTGTGGTCTGTGAGGCACCCGTCATGGCCAGGTCCCTGACCCGGGGCTGCTGTCCCTGGTGTCTGACGGACGAGGAGAAGACTGCGGCTAGAATCGACCAGGAGATCAACAAGATTTTGTTGGAACAGAAAAAACAGGAACGCGGGGAACTGAAACTCCTGCTGCTGGGTGAGTGGGGGCAGCAGAGGGGACGAATGTGACCGGGAGGGACAGTGACTGGGCCACGGCAGGCAGACCTGTTTTCCTGATGGGAAGAGCAAGGAGTCAAGGCTGAGTGTACATCGGCTGTGGGGAGGTGGCCCCGGTGGGCGCTGCTACTCGCGTGTGTCACAGGAAGGGAATGAAGGTGAGCGGCTGGCCAACCTGGCCCAGGGAGGGGCCGAGCCTCTTCCTCCAGCTGCCTGAGCTAGGGCTCCAAACTGCCTATCACTGGGTCATGGCCACCAAGAGCTTGGTTTATGTGCATCCGTGGACAGCTGGGTCTTTCACTCATTCATTCATGAGCTCTGAACTCTTGAACGGCTTCGTGCCTGCCACCCTAGTACTTGAGAGGCTGAGGCAGGAGGACTGTGACTTAGAGGCCAGCCTGGGCCAAGGGAGCCACTGTCTCAGAAACCAACAAAAGGGGAGGGGAGGGCCAGCTGGGGCTCAGCGGGCATAACAATCCCAGACCCAGCGTTGGGGAGACCCTGGCTTCTATTCCAGGGGCCCGAGAGCCAGATGTGGGACATGCACCCCTGCCACTCAGGGGGTGGAGGCAGGAAGACCAGGAGTTCTGGGTCATCCTGAGCTACAGAGGGAGTTTGAGGCTAGCCTGACTTTACATGACACCCTGTTTCAAAGAATAAAAAGCCAGGCATGGTGGTACACAAGTGTGATCCTAGCCCTTGGTTGACGGAAACATCAAGATAATGAGTTCAAAGCCATCTTTAGCTACATAATGAAACCCAGTCTAAATAATAATAATATCGTCATGAAAGGGATATCCTCACTGAGGGACAAAACAATACCCATAAGCCAATGAGTTAGTGCTCAATACGTGCCACTTAATTCCTGTTTCTAAAAGGGAATTTTCCTTTCCCTTTAAATTATTCTGGTACAGCATAAAGTCACAGTCCATCCAGCTTCACCCCTCAGACAGGAGCCCCTGCGATCTCCTTCAAAATGTCCAGTCAGGCATCGGCTTCCTGGACCCACATAAAGAACTGCCTTTTGCTCTTGGCTTAGACCACTTGGCCATCCTGACACCCTACCTCGCTGTTAAATGTTTGGTCACTTTCATAAGAGTCCATCTGAGCCCAGAAGGCTTTGAATAAAGGATTCTGTTTCTCCGGGGAGGTCAGATGGCTCACGGGGGAGAGGCACTTGCTGCACAGACCTGAAACTGAGTTCAAAGTCTGACAAAGACGGGAGAAGAAAAGAGACTCCCCCAAACAGACCCCCAACTTCCACATTCTATGACACAACTCTTCCCATTGTGCAATCAAAACATCATAGGACTGTGTTCTGTATCCTGAGAGTACTGCTCAGGGGTGGAGCCCCGCCTAGAATTCCGCAGTGAGGAGCACTTAACTAGTGCCTGTAAGATCATGGACTCATGATCTGCAATACGGGCCGATAGCTGGAGAGCATTTAAGAATACCGCACTGCCTGAACCCCTCCTCCTGAGTTAGGGTTTGCACTGTTGCTGACTAAATCAGCTTCAGCAGTATTTCTGGGATGTTGCAGCATCACTAGTTCCACCACAGGGCCTTTGCACTAGCATCACCTGAGCTCTTAGCCTCTGCACATTGTATGTGCCAGGCTCTTTGTGTAGCTTTGGAGCCTATCCTGGCACTCGCTCTAGAGACCAGGCTGGCCTCGAACTCACAGAGATCCACCTGCCTCTGCCTCCCGAGTGCTGGGATTAAAGGCGCGCGCCACCAACGCCCAGCCACCTAAGGCTTCTTAGACAGCCCTGCCTTTCTCCTTCCTCCTTATCATTCAGATCTGTATTCAGAGTCCTCTACTTGCTTAACTGATTGTATCTCTAATTACACAGTAGAGACAACAAAAGGGTGGGGACTGAGTCTGCCTTCTTTACTCCTGTGTTCCCAGTAACAGCACCGTGAGACCACACACAGGTGGAGCTCAGTAATGCAGAGTGGATGGATGGATGGATGGATGGATGATGGATGGATGGATGGATGGATGGGTGGATGGATGGGTGGATGGATGGATGGATGGATGTGTTGGATGGATGGGTTGATGGATGGATGGATGGATGGATGTATCAATGGATCGATGGATCGATGGGTTAATGGGTGGATGGATGGATGGGTGGATGGATGGGGTGGATGGATGGATAGGTGGATGGATGGGTGGATGGGTGGATGGATAGGTGGGTGGATGAATGGATGAGTCCATTTTCAGGGTAGAAGCCCCCTAGTCCTCCCCAGCTGTTCCCTGACTGTCTGTTAAGGACATACCACAAACACTGTTCATCCCTGTCCCCTTCCTCCAGTGGCCCATGAGCCTAGTGATTTGTTTGCCTCCTGATGTAGTTTTAGGGATTTGAGCATCAGATCTTGTCTGTCCTATCTACTTGATGGTTGCTTCTCAGCCCTTTTTGGAAAACAGGAATCTAATCCAAAAACATATTATTTCTTTCCTGGAGTGGGCAGGGATTTTGAGGAAGCTGGCTAGGGGTGGAGAGGCGTGTCTGTACCAAGAATGAGGCAGCTAGCATGTGACTGGGAGCAAAAAGTCAGAATTAAGGCAAGAATGTGTCATTGCTGAGCAAACCCTGAGAGGTGAGGCGCTTGCTGACGCTACACAGCCCATGGTTTCAGTCGTCTTCCTTTGCTGCTGTCAAGGTCTGACAAACCCTGGTTACAGATGACAACAAAGGAAACTGAGGCATGGGAGGTGTCGGTATTTATCTGGGGTCTGCAACTAATCTGAGCTGTACCTAGGTGTGATGGGCAAGCTCCCCATGAGCCCACTTCCTAGGGCATTGGTGAGATGCTGGGTCCTCCTGCCACCCTCGTTTGGCACAGCTACCCCACACTGCTGCCTCCAGCCCAGCTCTGCCTCCTTCTGCCATCTCCAGAAGGAAGCAGATACTTCCTGTCCGGGTTTGGCAGCCTGGCCAGGTGGAGAGAGCTGTTGCCAACAGCCACAACCCACTGTGGAGGTCTCTGGAAAGAGATGAGTGACCTCGATTGTGCCCAAAGCTGCATCTGCCTCTGGGTGCTTCAGACCTTCAATGGTGGTGTGACACAGGCCATTCCTGAACCCTGGTGTGGGGGGAATCACAGGAGTTTCTGTCCCATGTGTGGAGGCCACGGTCCACACAGGGCACTGGCCGGCTTCAGTCTCTCATCCCTCTTTGTTTTGTGTGGCTGAGTCTCTCTCACTGGACCCGGAACCTCACAGGCTCCCCCACCTCTGACTCCCCATCACTGGGGATTCAATTTTAGGTACTCAAGATCAGACAGCAAAGGATTCACCCAGAAAAGCACCCAGCCCCACTTTTGTGATTACTGGGGCCACTTGGCTGACCTGCAACTAGATTAAATCCCCCTAAATTTGGATCTAACTTCCAGACTGCTGGGAGTGAAGGTGTGCCCCATATAGTTGACCCATCGGTATTGTTTAATTGTCCCCTACCCCTGCCCTGAGACAGGGCTTCTCTGTAGCCCCGGCTGCTCTGGAACTCGCTCTGTAACCCAGGCTGACCTCCTGAGTGCTGAAATTAAAGGGGTGTGCCGGCACCAACTGTCTCTGTTTTTTCAGTCTTTAAATTCATTTTCATCGGGGTAAAATTCACATGTCACATAGCATAGAACTTGTCACTGTAAAATTAGCATGTCCATAGCATGTGGTGAGACAACTGCCTCTGTCTTCGCTTTTCTTTTTCTTTATTAATTAATTAATTTCTTTTATTTTACATCCTGACCACAGTTTCCCCTCTCTCCTCTCCTCTCCTCTGGTTCCCTCCCTGCCCCTGCCTCTCCTCTGCCTCACCCCATCCACTCCTCCTCTGTTTCTGTTCAGAGAGGGTCAGGCCTCCCATAGGTGTCAACAAAGCGTGGCTCACCGAGTTCAGGTAGGACTAGGCTCCTCCCCTTTTATTAAGGCTAGGGAAGGCAGCCTTGTTGGTTTTTTAAATACATATGTCTGGGTGTTTATCTGCATGCCTGTCTGTGCACCATGTGTGGCCAGAAATTGGAGTCAGAAGCCCTGGAACTGGAGTTACAGGGCTGTAACCATGTGGGCACTGGGCTTGAACCTAGGTCCTCCACAGGAGCAGCCGGTGCTAAAACCTCTGAGCATCCCTCCTCTATTTTTTTTTTTTTGTTTGTTTGTCTTTCGAGACAAACAGTGTAACAATCCTGGCAGTCCTGGAGCTCACTCTGTAGACCAGGCTGGCCTCGAACTCACAGAGATCCACCTGCTTCTGTCTCCCAAGTGCTGGGATTAAAGTTGTGTGCCGCCACGCCTGTTTTTGTTTTTTAATTTGCCCGGTTGCCAAGTTGATTTAAAAGTACCAATCCTCCTGTGCCCATATGCCACCATATGCCCCGGTGGGAGGAGAGTAATACCATGGGGCTCGGTGGTTAGTGCACCGGCTGGTCCTGCAATGGACACGGTTCTGTTCCCAGCACCCACAGGGTATCACAACAGTTCTGGGGACCCGACTCCCTTGCTGGCCCCTGAAGGTACTGCACCCACATGTCACACTGACAGACAGGCAAATCCCCCCCACACATTAGATAAAATGAAAATCAAAGTAACAGCAAAATTTAAAAACTCAGGCCGTTGAACTACATTAAAGTGTATATGTGGGGCCCATAACTGTTCTCTGCCCTTCAGACAGAAGCGGGATGTGAGAATGCAGTGCCGCCGCGCCCCATAGCACCCCTGCAAACCCCACAGCACCCCTGCAAACCCCACAGCACCACTGGCGGATGGGGTGAACACGGCCGGTTCTCCTGGTGGGGCCCATGGGGGCCCTGGCTCGCGGCCTGGTCCCTCCCCTGGTTCTGTGACCTCTCTGATGCTTTGTATCTCCTTGGAAATGGTATAAATCTGTGACTACTGGAGTCTCAGGAGACAGTGACTGAGGAAGCGCATGCCATATCTCTATTCAAGCCTGGCACAGGGCTCAAGTCGACCCGAGTCACCTGCTTGTGACCCAGGCTTCTTGGAATGCTGAGCGAGTTTATTGAGTTTCAGGCCACTGTGGGGACTTAATGAAACACTCTGAAAAGTAAGATGGGGGCGTGGTCAGGGTGGAGCCCCGCCCAGAACCTTCCAGTGAGAGGGAGGCTGGGGGTGTGGTCAAGGTGGGGCCTGCCTAGAATCCCTACTGAAGGGACTAGGGGTGTGGTCAGGGTGGGGCCCGCCTAGCGTTCAGGAGGCTCTAAGTTCAAACTCTCAGTGGGGGAGCCCCCTCCAGGACCCAGGCAGCTGACACACAGCTTCCTCTGCCCCTGTCTTCCCGCAAATGTCATTAATAACAAACTTTCTTGACTCATCCGTCTAATAGACTGAACATCTAGGGAAACTGAGTCTCAAAGAGGAGCCATACCTCTACCTGACCATCAGATTTGCAGACAGTGGCGCTGGCAGCTCCCCCTCCACTGAGCCTCCTATCCTTAGCAGGTCTACATAACCCCAGTCACAATCCCCCCAC